ATGACCGACAGATTGATGTTCCTGTAGCCCGCGGATTCCTTGGAGTCGAACGCCGTCGTCAACGAATTTTTGCTGCCGACGACGACGAACGGCGAGTCACGGAGCGCCTCGACGAAGGAGATCATGTCGTCGAGCGTGTCAAATTTGCAGATGGTGCGCACAAGGTCCACGAGGCGAGACGCGTCTCCCCTGTAGCTCCGGTAGAGCTTTTCGATCGCGCGCACCCGACTCTTGATGGCGCCGACGGTGTGCTCGCCGCGTCCGACTCGCGCCGCGACGAGTTCCTGGAAGTGTTGGTTGAGCGCGGCAGCCTGCGCCAACAACACGGGGAGGTCGTCGACGACCTGCATGGGCTTGCGACTGCCCGTGATCTTGCGCACGTATCCGAGCTGTTCGAGCGCTTTCGCCCGCGGCGTCTTGGGCTCGAGGGAGGGCAGTCGGCCGTGGACAGGGGGACGTGCCAGGAGATGGGTTGTTTCCCGAGCGACCGCCCCCGCGACGGCGGTCTCGAGATCGAGGAGCTTGGCAACAAACACAGGCCCGGTCAGTCGCCCCCAGAGCTCGTCGTACCGCGCGCGGTCGGCGGCCACCATCTGGTCGGCATCGCGCGCGTTTTTCTGTCGTCGATATTCCAGATAGGCCCCAAAAGCTGCAGCCAGAATTGCGAAACACGCAAAAAAAATACTCGTCGAAGGATTTTTTCTGCAAACTTCCGACGATGTCATTGCTCCGGAGCCCAGCGCCCAATAAAAACAAACAAATTTGATCCTTGACGTCGCCGAGGAGTACCGCATCGCATAGGCGTCGACTGCAGCCGCGACCACGAAGCCGTTCGCGATGAAAATCAGCGTGGATGCAACCCGCACATGATCGTGGCAGTCGGACGGGATCATAAACCACATGAGGGAAGTAGACATTGTACCGGCACCCTGCCATATTCCAACGACAGCGAGCGTGTAGCGTGCGGCACGCCGGCGCCGGAGGCGCAAAAAGTACCTGCGGCAGCGGCGCGTCGACGAGCGCGGCGGCGGCGCGGCGTCGTAATTGTTCCGCGCGGGCTTATACTGTCGGCACAGCAGAAGAATTCCGGAGACGAATTTCGAACAGGCATTTATGGCGATCGCAACAACGAGACCCCGAGGGAAGTCCTCAGCGAAGGAAGAAAGGGAGAAGAAAGTCCAAAGGGCCCACAGAATTGCCACAACCGCACAAATAAAATAGATGCGGCTCTCGCCCCCTAAATAGCCCGCTTGCAGCGTCACCGCCTCTGCGTATTCCACGCCGCGCCGCATCATGGCGCGCACCTCGTCGATGCGCGCCGCGCGCAGGTCCAGCGTCGGTTCCTTAAACTTGCACGCCGGCGGGGCGACGATGCCGCCGGTCTCGACGTCTTCGTCAATGCCGCCGGTCTCGACGTCTTCGTCAAGCGGCGCTAGCTCCGCGACGGGGACTAGTACAATCTTGCGCTGGCTCATGAGTCTAGCGGTAGCGCTCCGCGGCGCCGCCTCCGAGCTCGCGTCCTCGCGCAGAGGGCGTTCTCAAGGTACAGAGGGCGCGCAGCCTTTTTTGTCACCGCACGCGTTCGCCGCACAGCCGACTGTCCATGTCGCGAATTCTCGGCTTCTGTACCAAAAAGTCTGCACCTCCCTCGAGTTAACTCGAGCTTGAAGCGCGCCCGAGAATACATCATCGCGAGGCGGCAATGGGCAAAGGATCTGGCGAGGCGCCCGTCGGCGCGACGATGAAGACGAACCGCGCCGGCGGCCTGGAGCTGAGCGCGCTCGGCTACGGGACCTGGCAGTTCGGCTCCGGCGGCGCCGACGACTATTGGGGCCTCGAGTTCACGGACGACATGGCCGTGGCCCTGCTCAAGCAGGCCACGGCCGCGGGCGTCACCTACGTCGACACGGCCGCGGACTACGCGCAGGGCGGCTCCGAGCTACAGCTCGGCCGGGCCCTCAAGGCGCTCGCGCCCGACGCGCGCGCCAAGGTCGTCATCGGCTCGAAGATCCTGCCGAACAACTGCGGCGAGGTGCGCAAGTACGTCTTCGGCGTTTATTGAGCGTTACGTTCCCCGCCCGATCCCCACTGCCGTGGTCACGCTTATTTTGGACCGCACAGGTACACGGAGGAGACGCTG